CGGCTCGCCCCGCCAGCAGACGAGGGAGACGCTGAACAGAGCGGCGGAGCACCCGGCCGGACCCGCGCCGCTTCCAGCTGATCTGGAAGCGGCCGCGGGTCCGGCCCCCGGTGCTCCGCCGCTTTGCTCCCGTCTCCCTGGTCTGCTGGCTCCACCAGCAGACCAGGGAGATGGGGAGCAGCTTTTCTCGCCCCGGAGAAGGCGGGCGGCAGGACCAGGCGCCCCGCTGCTCTAGTTCTCCGGGGCGAGAAATCCCCGTTCGTAACTGCGGATCCGACATAAGTCGGATCCGCGTAACTCGGGGACTGCCTGTATTTTTAAAATGCTAGAGAGGTGATATGGGGGATACTGGAAGCCATAAATCTGTACGTGGCCAGCTGATTGAAATGACAATTGAAAATAAAATAATGAACACCTATAAGATCATGAAATGATAGGGTCAGTTTCTACAAATGAAAATCATGTCTCTCTAATATATGAATGTTCTTTGAACACATCAATAACATAATGAATAAAGGAGAAACAGTACGAATGTATTTAGACTTTCAAAAGGCTTTTGTCAACATCTCTCACAAAAGACTATTAAAGAAGCTACCCTGCTTTGGAGTGAGAGGGAAATACTGTCATGGATCAAAAACCAGGCAGGAGACAGAAAGCAAAGAGTAGAATTAAATAGTCAAGAGAATGTCTGCAGGTGCTGGCTGCTCCAACCCAACATATTAAAAACAACCTCATCAGCTACAATATCATCAGCTTTCCAACTCAGTAATTCTGAAGCTAAGAGGACGCTGAATGTAAATTTTCATGGCAAGGCAAGCACCCAAAATCCAAACTTCTGCTGTCTAGGAGTCACCCTCGATTGCAGCCTTACCTATCAACAACATCTGAATCAGGTGAATCATAAAACAAAGTTGTGCAATCAATATCATCCAGGGTCTGACTAGGGTTATAATGCTTGAATGCTTTAATTTATTCCACAGCTGAGTACTACGCAGTATGTTGGGGAAGAAGTTCATATATGGATCTCACTGATTTCTGGTTAAGTGAGGCTATGAGACACGTAACTCCCACTGCCACTCCACTGCCTTGGTTCCACTCGTTGCTAACATCTCTCTTCCAGCCATCTAGTGAGAGGTGGCAATATTATGTGAGTACAAGAAAGCTCTTGGTAACCCACAGCTACCACATCACGACAACCTTGTTCGCCATCTTCAGACTCACTCCAACCATTCTGGGCAGCCCGAGAAACTTTTTTGTCCTCCAGCTTCAACCCATAAGGCACCTGGTAGGTGCAATGGGAAAGCTCTGATGTAAACAAGCATCCCACCATTGAACTGCCTGGTTTCTTGCTGGGCTGAAAACAGCCGATGACCATCCACAACATTGGGATATTACATGGAAGATGTGTGCATCTGATGCACAAATGGAGAATCAAGGATTCACCCTAGCGTGAATGTGGAGACCTTTAAACTATCAAACACATTGTGAACAAGTGCCCCATCTTTTCATATCCAGAAGGTATTGTACATGTGCACTCCTCAAAATGGATTTCAGACCTTGCTGTTAACTAGTCAATTTTGCTATTTCCATACAAAAGAAGAATGGTGAATTTTCATCATGGAAGAAGGTTTACAGTGGGATGCTTCAAAGTTCCTCTCTGTCCCATGTGTAATATATTTATTAATGATCTGGAATGGAGGGTGTACAGTGAAGGAGCAAAGTTTGCAGATGTCACAATTATTTTGGTGAGTGAAGAAGAGAAAGGATTGTGAAGCACTTCAGAGGGACATAACTAAGCTAAGAGAATGGGCAACATGATGGCAAATGAAATTCAATGTCATTAATGCAGAGTACTGAATATTGGAAGGAAAAATATGCAAGTAATTCATACACCTTACAAGGCTCTAAAGGGCATTAAGAATCATAGACAGCTCAACGGGGACCTCTGTTGAATGTGCAGGTCTGGTTAGAAAAGCAAAGAAAATATGAGGGTGAATAAGGATTGGGGCTAAAAGCAAGGAAGAAAATATTGTTATGCTTTTATGTGAATCAGTGGCACAGTATCATCGGGAGTACTCTGCACATTACTGGTCATCACATCTCAATTACAGGAAGTTTAGAGAAGGAAGGCAAGCATGGATATGGAAAAGCTCATGAAGAGTTATTGAAAAGAT